CAGCGCAATAGGGCCTACCGGGCAACACTCCAGCTGCTCTGCCCCCGGCTTCCCGGATTCAGCTGCTGGTCAGTTTTAGCAGCGGCTGAATGCGGGAAGCTGGGGCAGATCAGCTCCAATGGTCCGGCTACCCAGAGCACTTCCGGGTTCCTGATGGTGCCGGACCATCAGGAGTGCCAGACCATCAGAGTTTTACTGTAGTAACTCCAGAGACAAGTGAAAATTATAGACAGCTGGTGTGGTATAGTGGTTGGAGTAGAGGATGGGAATCAAATATGTATTTACCAGAAGTTATAAGCCTGATAGAGGATTTGCAGTCAAATACTATAGCCCACGATCAGATTGGTCCATGATAGCCTTAACAAGGATGTAAAATCCCATTTTAAAAGTTAACTGGTTAGACTATATGTTTAACCGGCCCATCACTCTAGGGGGCTGCTGGAGCCGAGTGCCCATTAATCTGTTATTGGTAAGCATCACCCAGTAAGGGTGATACTTACTGGGTAACTGGTTAACCATTTACATCCCTAGGCCTTAATAATGTCTCTCTGAATTACTCAGAATTGTTTGTGTCCAAAATTTAACACAAGATTCAAAGAGGTTGATTTTTTTTTTCAATGATTTGGCCTATGCTATGTTGAATGCAAGTCTGTCAGTAAGTTTATTATTCACTGGGAAAAGAGTATTTATTGTTCACTGGGTTGTTGACAGTAAGAAGATGCTATTACATTTAGGCAGGGCATCTTTGAACCAGAACCAAAGGTGTATTCAGAGGAACTTTACTCTTGTTTATGTGACACAAATGAAAGTGATAATTTTTTGTAAAAGTATTAATTTACCAGAATCCATTTTGTCATCTCTAAAGTATTAAATAAAAGGAATATATGGAAGCAAGTTGTTAGTAGCTGTTTAAAAACACAGTAGTAAATGCATTAAAAAATGCACAGGAGCTTCAGGAAAAGTTAATTATTTCCTGTTTTACTGGTAAATTATGACACAGAAAAGGTAAGATGAACTCTTTGCATTGCTACAAGTTTAAAGAAACGGTTTTACTACTCCATTACATGCTAACACCAATGTATGCATATTTACAAGAAATAATCCAAACAACTGAAAAAACAGATGAAGAATCCCCATATACTAGCTACACAATTTTCCAGCAGCCCTCAAAACATTTAACATGGGCAAGAGCCAAGTGTGTGTCCTTGGACACCTCCATGCTCCAGAAACTCCACACAATCCAAGTGCAGCAGCATCTCAGAAAACCATTGCTAAAAGGATCCAAACAGTACAGACTAGGATCTTGGCCTACAGTGGATAAAGACGGGTAAGCGCTAATTTCAGTGCTACCTGGAACACAAACGCCTTTTACATAGGTAAGTAAGATAGAGTCAGGAGACGGAAGGACACAAGTGCAGCTCAAGAGGCAGGTAAGAATGCCCTTCCCAGTGCTAGAGTAAGCGTGAAATAGAAAGCCCCCCCCCCTTTTTACTGGGGAGCCCGGCAGCTGCGGAGGAAGCGAGTAGCGGGAGTGGCTGCCTAGCTCCCTCTGACCTCAGAGCCGCGTGGGCGGACAAGGTGGAAAGGTCACCGCCACCCTAGCTCCCTCCACCCGGGAGGGGGCTCAAGGACACGACACAGGCTCTGCCCAGACTCAACCGGGGCAGCAGCACCTGGCCCCTCCGAAGCGCGCTCCCCACTGAGCAGCCAGGCCCCGCTTCCTCTCA